GACCCAAAAAAAAAAAAAAAATTTGATACCTAAGAAACAAGTTCAACAGATTATAGGATATAAATTCAATATATAAAAGTCACTTGCATTTTTATATACTAACAATGAACAAGCTGAAAATAAAATACTTTAGGAATAAATTTAAGAAAAAGATTACAAGTATACTGGAAACTACAAAACATGGTTGAAAAAAACTGAAAGAAGGAAGAAAAAACTAGGAGAGAGTGAGAGAAGAGTGACATTGTCCAAAAAGAAATGTACAGCTGGGTGCCAGTGGCTCATGCCTGTAATCCCAGCGATTCAGGAGGCCGAGATCTCAGGTCAAAGCCAGCCCAAACAGAAATGTCCATGAGATTCTTATCTCCAATAAACTACTCAGAAAAAAAACAGAGATGGGGCTGTGGCTTAAGTGGTAGAGTGTTAGCGTTGAGCACAAGAAGCTTAGAGACAGCAACCAGGCCCAGAGTTCAAGCCGGAGGGGGGAGGGGTACTTTTTGTAGAAATACATAAATTGATCCATAAAATTTTCATATTTAATTGCAAGGTATCCCAATAGCCAAAATAATTTTGAAGAACAAAGTCAGACGGTTCATACTTCTCAATTCCAAACTCACTACAAAGCTATATGAATCAAAAAAAAAAATGTGGTATTAGTATAGGAATATTACTGGAATTTAGGGCCTAGAAATAAATCCTTACATTTACAACCACTTGATCTTTGATAAGGATGTCAAGGCAGCTCAATAGAGAAAGAGCAGTCTGTAACAAATGTGCCAGGATAAACAAATATCTACATGTAAAAGAATAAAATGGAACCGGGCGCTTGTGGCTCACTCCTGTAATCCTAGCTACTCAGGAAGCTGAGACCTGAGGATCGAGGTTCAAAACCAGCCCAGCCAGAAAAGTCTGTGAGACTCTTATCTCCAATAAACCACTAGAAAACTGGAAGTGGCGCTGTGGATCAAGCAGTAGAGCGCTCACCTTGAGCTGAAGAGCACAGGGGCAGTACCCAAGCCCAAAGTTCAAGCCCCATGACCAACCAAAAAAAAAGAGGGGCTGGGAAGGTGGCTCAGTGGTAGAGCGCTTGCCTTGCATGCTCAAGACCCTGGGTTCGATTCCTCAGCACCACATAAGCAAACAGAAA